ACAATAACAGCAGCTGTACAAGTATTAAATGGAAATGAAGAAATATAATGTCCAGTGTTGTGCAATCCACATTTGTAAGTGTCTTGTGCAGTGCAAATATGCTTAAAGTGATATAATTAAGATGAATTATTCTTGAATGAAGACACTGATCTGACACATGTTAAATTTAACAAATTATGTTTATTGTTCCCCCCATCTCCCTACCCTGTGTTCACTTTTTAAAACACAGGGTAGAGAGATGATGGAGGAAATGAAAGGGGGGGGGCAGAAAAAGAAGGGATAGAAAGAAGGAAAAAGACAGGGTAGAGAAAACCCCAACGATCCCCTCTGAGCAAGCACTAGGCGACAGTGGGGAGGAAAAACTGCCTTTAAACAGGCAGAAACCTCCAGCAGAACCAGGCTCAGGAGGGGCAGTCAACTGCCGGGACTGGTTGGGGGGTGAAGGTGAAAAAAGAAAAGGGATGAAGAAGGGAGGGGAGAAAGTAATTGATGGAGAGGTGTTTGGAGAGAAGGGGACAGAGGGCAGAGGAGAGCTGAAAATTTAGATGGAATACAGGAATTGTGTGAATTGTGTATTGATCTTGAAAGACTGGATCGTTTCTTTCTTTCAAGATTAAAAAAAGTTGGTGACTAAGTATTTGGTCTGAATGGCTTGGCGATGGCTCTGCCCAGTGCGCAAAAGAACCTGACAATGGCAGAACGCTTCGCTTTTGGTTTTCCCAGACGATCTTTTAAACTAGCCAAAATGCATTTTGCAGTTTCACTTTCTTGTAATTCCATTGAAACTATAACACGTTCTATAAAGCCCATGGTGTTGTAGAGGTCTTTCAGAAGTTTTTTGTCAATAGTTTTAAAAGTTTTGGGTGTAATATAAATCTCTTCATCCTCCAGTTCTGCCCATACATAGTCCAAGAGCCAAGTGACGATGTGACTTGGGTCTTGATAAGTGCACGGCAGGTTTGCCTTTTTAAAGGTTGTAGAGATTAATCAATCAATCAATCAATCTTTATTTATAAAGCACTTTTCATACAAAAAAAAAAAATGTAGCACAAAGTGCTTTACATAGTTAAAAGCAGCCCACCCCACCCTCCAACTCACTCCCCACACTCTCATTAACATAAATGATGTGAATACACACATATC